GGCGGGCGCGCGCGGGAGGAGCTCCCCGCCTCACCCGGGGCTCCGGCTAAATTTAGGCAGCTGGCGCGGCTGCCCGCCGGAGCAGCATGCAGGTCTCCTTTGTGTGCTCCGAGCACAGCATCAAGAGCCGGAGCGCGGAGGACCGGCTGAACCGACAGAATGCCGGCAGCCCCAGCCTCGGCACCCGTGGCAAGTTCCGGGCGGTGGCCATGGTGGCCCGCAGCCTGGGGCAGCTCTCAGTGCAGAACGCCCCCTCCTCCAGCGAGTCCAGCATCAAGCAGCCAGGGATGAAATACCGGTAGGAGACGGGCGCGCTGCTCGGGCAGGCAGATTTGCTGCCTGCTCGGCTGCTTTCTCTGTTCCTCGTCGAGATTTAGGGGGTGGCAGGGAGGGTCTGGGGGGGCCGGGTGTGCTGCACTCCCCTAATCCCTGGCTCGCGTCCTGCTCCATAGGTTTCTTGGTGCTAAAAGTGCTGACCATGCACCTCCGTCGCCTTCCTCACCGTTTGCTCCTGTCCCCTCTCGGCACAGATTTGATCCAGCCTTGCGTAAAAACAGCAGGATAGTGGGGGGAAAGTGACCCTAAAATTTGGGGTAGGATTAGTAGTACCCTCGGCGCCTGCCGAGCCAGGCAGGCTGCTGAGCCAGGGGGGTCCGAGAGTCACAGCGCGCGTTAATCTGCGGGCTGCCATGGCATCCTTACGGCGCTGCCAGAGACTCACTGCCCTGCAAAGCGTGCACAGAGCTGCAAGCCAGGATTTGACCCTCGGCTGCCAGCAGTGGGTTTGGAAACGAAGGGTGGCGTGTGCACCTTGTGCCCCCCCAGCCAGCACCCACTGGGTTAACGCGCTCCACGTCCCTGGCACTGGAGCAAAGCGCTGGGGGGATGAATGTGCAGCCAGGCACGGGGCTGGGGGCTCCCCGCCGGGTGAGCACGCATGCCACAGTCCAGCTGACAGCTGCTGCATGCCCTCGCTGCAGCCCAGATGAGACCGGCATTGGGCTGCGAAGTGCATCAGGCCGGCAGAGCGTGGGGATGAAACCAGCCATCACCCACCATCATTGTCCAAATCAGCCGCGTCCCCTCACCTGGGCGCTGGGGAGGGGTCTGGGACCACCCCCTCCGGCTCTCGAACGCTGACCCCTTGCAGTGGCAGTGCTGCGGCCACGTGCGGTGGCACCCTCCGGGCTTGGCGCTCGCACCCTGTGGTTGTGTCCCCATCCGGAGGAGGAGCACACGGGGGTTCCATCCTCTCCCAGGCGCTGGGTGATGGGCT